CTGGGCTGAGCTGGGCTGGACTGGGCTGAGCTGTTCTGAGCTGAGCTGAGCTGACCTGGACTGAGATGGACTGAGCTGGCTGGGCTGAGCTGGGCTGGGCTGGGCTGAGCTGAGCTGAGCTGATCTTGGATGAGCTGAGCTGACCTGGGCTGAGATGAGCTAAGCTAGGCTGAACTGAGCTGAGCTGGGCTGAGCTGGGCTGCACTGGGCTGAGCTGGGCTGATCTGAGCTGAGCTGAGCTGAGCTGGGCTGAGCTGAGCTGGGCTGAAATGGGCTGGACTTGGCTGGACTGAGCTGAGCTGGGCTGAGCTGGACTGAGCTGGGCTGAGCTGAGCTGAGCTGGGCTGAGCTGGGCTGAGCTGAGCTGAGCTGGGCTGAGCTGGGCTGAGCTGAGCTGAGCTGGGCTGAGCTGGGCTGAGCTGAGCTGATCTTGGCTGGGCTGAGCTGAGCTGACCTGGGCTGAGATGAGCTAAGCTGGGCTGAACTGAGCTGAGCTGGGCTGAGCTGGGCTGGACTGGGCTGAGCTGGGCTGGACTGGGCTGAGCTGGGCTGAGCTGGGCTGAGCTGGGCTGGACTGGGCTGAGCTTGGCTGAGCTGTGCTGGACTGGGCTGACCTGGGCTGGACTGGGCTGGACTGAGCTGAACTGGGCTGGGCTGAGCTGAGTTGGGCTGGGCTGAGCTGAACTGGGCTGGACTGGGCTGAGCTTCGCTGGACTGGGCTGAGCTGTGCTGAGCTGACCAGACCTGGGCTGAGCTGGGCTGACCTGGACTGAATTGGGCTGGACTAAGCTGAGATGAACTGGGCTGAGCTGGGCTGAGCTGGCTGGGCTGAGCTGGGCTGAACTGGGCTGGGCTGGGAACTGCACTGTACTGAGCTGAGATAGGCTGAGCTGCCCTAACCTGGGCTGAACAGGTCTGGGCTGGGCTGAGCTGGGCTGAACTGGGCTGACCTGGCCTGAGCTGGGCTGAACTGGGGTGGGCTAGGCTAGGCTGAGCTGCCCTAGACTGAGCTGGGCTGGACTGAGCTGGGCTGAACTAGGCTGAACTGGGCTGGGCTGAGCTGGACTGCCCCTGACTAAGCTAGGCTGTTCTGAGCCTGATCGATAGGGAGTCTCCGATGCTGCCCCATGTGTTTGCTCTGCAGTGATTTGCTGTTCTTACACCTGGGGTCTGGACACTGCTGGCTCCCCTCAAAGGGCAAGTCCAGCAAGTATCTTAATGATGTTGTGTTCTGTGCTTGGGGCCAGCAGCTACTGAGAGGGTTAGCCCCCTTGGGCTCCAGGGCTAGCAGAACCATGAACACAAAACTACCCAGGCAGCAGAACCAGGTGACCTTTGACATTACTTGGTGCCTTCCACATGGCACCAAAGCCAGCTCTTGCTGCCTAGTATGGTGGCTGTCAGCAGGGGGTAGCCCCATGGAGCTCTACCTGGTCAGACACAGACTGGGTTGTGGGGAAACCAAGGCAAGATACCCAGATGTCTGCACACAGAACCCAACAGCTTTATGGAGCAGGAGCCCAAGGCAGGGGTGGTGGACCTGACTATTTTGAGCTCACAACAAGTTTGGGGTGAGGAGGGCAGGGACTGGGTTCCTAACAGGGCTCTGCATCTCCAGTCCAATGGATCTGCAGGTGGAGACAGAAGAAAACACACCATGGCTCCTGGGTCTTGAGTCCCCACCCTGTGAGGTCTCTGGTCCCTGTGCTGTGGGATCCGGTGTGAGGTGGGATCAGCCTGGGTTCCCTGCATCTCTGGTTCCCAGCCCCATGGGGTCTCTGGTTGTAAGGGGTCAGTCTGGAATTCTGAGTCTCTGGTTCCTTGTCCTAAGGTGTCTCCAGTGGGTATAGATCCTCCCAGGGTCCTTGGTCTCTGGTCCCTCCCCTGTGGGGTCAGCCTTGGCCTCTAGGTTCCCAGCCCCCATAGGATCTCTAGGCCTGGGCTTCAACCTGGGGGATGGCCTAATGCCCCTGCTCCCCAAGAGCCCATGTTCCAGCCCTCAGGACTAAGGTCAAGATCCATCCTGTGCACCCTTGTGCCCAAGCCCAGCATGAGCACCACTATCACCAGCCCAAAGGTACAGAAGCATCTGATGGTGTCCTTGGCCTGAAGCTCACTGGGAAAGAAGTGGAGCTAGAAAACTAGAACAGGGACAAGACCAGGTCTACCTGGCCCGAGGTGGCACAGCATCTCCAGCAGATGCCCCACCCACCCCAGGCCTGGGCCCACCTGACCATGCCCTGTCCCACAGCCTCTCCCCAGGCACCCGGAGTCTTCCCCTTGAGCTGCTGTCGGGACTCCACGACACTGGGCTGCCTGGTCAAAGGCTACTTTCCAGAGCCAGTAACTGTGACCTGGGACACAGCCTCACAGAACATGACCATCACTCAGTTCCCCGCCATCAACTTCAACTCCAGCTTCCTAGTCACCACCAGCCATGTGACAACGTCAGGAGCATGGCCTAAGCAGCTCACTTGCAAGGTGCAGCACCCTGCATCTAACTCCATCCTTACAAAGACAGTCACAGGTGAGCTCCCAGACCACCCCACCTGGGGACAGAGGGTGGGGCCCTGGGTGGGCCTAGGGGCAGGAGGAGGATGGATACTTACACTGGCCACTTCTCCCTTAGCTTGTCTCCCCGGCTTAACCCAGCCCACTGTGAGGCCCACTGTGAGGCCCTCTGTGAAGCTCCTCCACTCCTCCTGCAACCAAAACAAGTTCCAGCCCACCATCCAGCTCCTCTGCCTCATTTCTGACTACACCCCCGGTGATCTCGAAGTCACCTGGCTGAAGGATGGGCAGCAAATTGACAAAAAGTTCACAGAAAACAGTGCACACAGGCAAGACGGGAAGCTGGCCTCCACCCAAGTAGAGCTCAACATCACCCAGAGTGACTGGGCATCAGCGAGCACTTTCACCTGCCAGGTCTCCTCCCAAGGGCTGACCTTGAAGGCCCACACCCGGAAGTGCACAGGTGCGGGCTCCCTCATCTTGTTACCTAGACATGGGGAAAGGGTGGTTTGAGGGCCTGGCAGGGTCTCACACAGCCCCTCCCCAAACATAGATGATGAAGAGCCACGAGGCGTGGGTGCCTACCTGATCCCACCCAGCCCCCTGGACCTGTATGTCCGCAAAGCGCCCAAGCTCACCTGCCTGGTGGTGGACCTAGAGAACAAAAACAGCATCTCTGTGAAGTGGACCCGGGAGAGCGGGCGGTCCGTGAACCCTGACCCTTGGATGGCCAAGACGCAGTACAACACCACAGTCAGCATCACATCCACCCTGCCCGTGGATGCCCAGGACTGGATTGAAGGCGAGAGTTACAAGTGCACTGTGACCCACCCCGACCTACCCAAGCCCATCGTGCGGTCCATCAGCAAGGCCATGGGTGAGCCACAGGTTGGAGGTGGGGCGGGCTCCATGAGGGTCAGAGGAGGCACAGCCTGGCTGACCCTCACCTCTCCACAGGCACGCGCATGAAGCCCAAGGTATATGTGTTCCGGCCACCAGAGGAGGGGTCAGAGGAGGGCGCAGAGACCCAGGGCATACTCTCCCTCACCTGCCTGGCCCAGAACTTCTTCCCTGCAGACATCTCAGTTCTGTGGCTGAACAGGGATGTGGAAGTACCCAGCAATCAGTACAGCACAACAGCCCCCATCAAGATCAACAGCTCCACTCCCTCCTTCTTCATCTTCAGCCGCCTGGAGGTCACCTGGGCTGACTGGGTGCAGAACAACAAATTCACCTGCCGTGTGGTCCATGAAGCTCTGCCCCACTCTAGGTTCTTAGACAAAAGCGTGTCCAAGGACCCTGGTAAATGAAGCCTCCCTGCCTCCCGATGCTCCATCCATCAAGGGTACCTCTGTCCCCTGTTGTATCACCAGGAAGCCACCCAATAAACACTTGGTGCCTGCTTCAAGCCCTGGAAGCCCATTCTTAAGAAAGGCAGGGCTATGGAATCGAGTTTCTTGCCCAGAGGAAGGGACCCCCCCCAAAGAAGAGAAGAGGGGTGCCCGGGGTGAGATGTGGCCCTTCCATCTGCCTGTCTGTCAAACAGTAGCATTGAGGCCCAGCACAGCTCCCCGCCCTCCCAGCCACCCCACTACAGCTCGCATTCCTCCAAGGCAGAAAGACAGAAGGGGAAGGTGCAGGGCAAGCCAGACCAGGCAGCCCTACCCTTTCCAGAACAAGCCCTGCATGCAGGTGTCCCTTCTAGAAGAGCCAGAGCAAGTGCATGCAAGTGCAGACGCTCTGAACCCTTAATGCCCTCTGTGCATGAGGCCAGGGTTGAGCCCACCACTCCAGCCCCGACCACTCGCCCCTTTAGGAGCCATACCAGGCCTCAGTCAGCACCAGTGCCCCCAAGCTTGCTACCCAGCCCTACTCTATCCTGCATCCACCCTAAAGGGGCACCAGCCTCACACCTCACACAGAGTTGGGCACACTCGGGCCTTGCAGTTACACTGAGCCATGTGACCACCCCAACATGCCATGCACTGACACAACACACACTCTCAGGCTCCCCGTGGGGTGACAGATCTCACAACTCACGTGTGCCAGAGCTGGTCCAAAAGACATGAAAGCCTTGAGGCCCAGCCAGGAACCTATCCACCCCCACACAGGCTCCTCTTGTGGCTTCAGCCTCCCCAGTCCACTGTCAGCTGCTCCCAAAGATGACAGACACAGACACACCGGGACATGGATGCACGCACCCAGGCACACACACACACACACACACACACACACACTCACACAAGGTATGCCCTCGGGTCCTCCTACTTCCACGTAGCACTGGAGGATGAAGGTTGGAGTCAGGTCTCCCCAACCCAGGCTCCTACAGCACACATACTCCTAGCCCACAGACCCTGACAGAGACTCAGCACCCATGTCCAGCTATACGCAGTTGTACACAGCACATCCATGCAGAGCTGAGCCTCTAGAACCAGGGATTACATGGAACTGAGTCAGAGAGGCTACAGATGCCTACCTTCATCCCTAGAGCAGTAGCCCCATCAGCCCAGCGCCCCAGGCTGTCCCTAGCCCCAGGCCAAGGAAACAGAGACCAGCCAGCATGCACACAGGTGACTAGAAGCTATAGGCAGCAAGGAAAGCTGGCAAAGCCAGAGGGCCAGATCCCCAGAGGCCAGGCCAGGAGGCTGCCTTGAATCCTGCAGGCCTGGCCTCAGAGTCTATGATGCCAAACCAGCCCCAGAGACTCATTACCCAGGCTCTAAGCCAGGCTGCCCACATTCAGGCCCATCATGAGACCCAAATTCTCAGTCTACAGGGCTGAGGGGAGGCATCCAGTGCTAAGATAGAGAAGAGAAAGACAAGTAAGCAAGGATACCATGGAACCTAGGGTGGGATCAGGGAACAGAGATCTGGGCAAGAGAGGGCAGAGGCCCCTGACTATCTTGGAAAGCTTTGGATCCCAGCCTGCAGGGCTATAGCCAGGAAACCTACGCCCTGGGCCTCAGTAGGGTCTGCCTGCCCGCTGTTACCCAAACTCTGGAAGGGCTGACTGGCCGCTCCTCCTAGAGCTGGACCTCCAGGACCTGTGCACCGAGGAGGCAGAGAGCCAGGAGCTGGAGGGGCTGTGGACCAGCACCTATACCTTCATCTCCCTGTTCCTGCTCAGTGTGAGCTACAGCGCCACGGTCACTGTTCTCAAGGTATGTGGGCGCTGGGCAGGCTGAGGGCCAGGGCGAGACTGAGCAATGCCTTCATGCACACCTTCCCCCAGGTGAAGTGGGTCTTCGCTGCCATGCTGCAGAGCACACCCCAGACCCTCCACGACTACACCAACGTTCTGCAGCCAGGGGCCTAAGCCGGGTACAGCACCCACACATGTACCCCAGGGTCAAGGCTGTGGAGGCCACCAGTCACATCCACCTCCTCTGAGACAGCCCTGTCCCTACAGAAGATCAGGCATGGCCAGATCCGTGGGCATTGGGGCCACTCTCTGAAGGTGTGGACTGAACAACTACAAAAACATGTAAAGGCCTGGAGCCCAGGGCCCAGCTACCACCCAGAGTCCAGCCAGCCCAAGAAGCACAGTGTGACCCCTCCTGCCCTCATTCCCCCATCATGAGGACACAGACATTTCTTCCAAGGTTGAGGCTGTAGGACTGCTCAGACCCTTGGCTGGTCGGGGTCATCTCTAGGACCAGAGAAGAGGCCTTCCATGGGACAGAGCCTCATTGACCTACGCACCTGACCCGGCCATCCTGTTCCCATCTCTGGGTTTCTTAATAAACTTCCTGTCTACAGCCAAGTCCCAAGTGTGCTTTGAGGAGGTCTGAGGCATGTATGTTGGTGTGGCAGGAGGAAGTCCCCTGAGCATGCAGACTAAGGCTGCTGCTTCATGTGAGAGCCCCTTCCGCACCCAGAGTGTCCCCACCAGCCAGCCTGATGTCCTGATAGCTAAGCACTGACACACAAATGAGGAAGAGCCATCTGGAGCTGGCCACCACCACCTTGTGAGGAATCCCAGTGGCCTGGGGAAAGCACGAGCACAGGACACGCCAGCCAGGGAGAACTGTGGTGGGAGAAACATGGCTACAGGTCTCTAGGAAGCTAGCAAAAGTGGGAAAGGGTTGCCCATGAGCACCCCAACAAAGGGCAGAATGCTCCCCATTAAAAGGCACTTGAGAACCAACAAAGAGAAAGAAAGGTGAGCAATAGATCTTTGGTGCAAACGAAAAACTCAGCAGCTGACAACTTGAAGGAAAGTTTCAATGACTAGAAAAGTTACAGCAAAGAGATGGGGCAGTCTCCTTGACCCTGGCTGAAATGGGAAACAATTAAGACCATTTTGAATACCAGTAGGTCATAAGTCCCTTACAATTCCATACAGTGGCCCTACCAGGAGACCACATTAGTGCACTAGATCCAGCACCACGGCACCTCTGACACAGAACAAGAATAGAAAGGAGACTAGGGTCTGGCCACAGCCCTGCCCCACCCCAGGCCCAGCCTGCTCCCTGCCTCATAGCCAAGCTCAAGACATAGCCAAGCACCTACAGCAGAGGTGAGGAGCTAGGACCCCCTTTGGGGACAGGGGACCCAGGGCAAGACAACGAGAAGCTGGGCCAGAGGCTCTAAGCTGGTCTGGACAGAGCAGAGAGCTTCTAAGGGCACTGCAAAGGCCAAGGCCTCTGCCCAGCTCTCCTTACACCCAGACACATGCACTATGGACATAGTCACACTCACTTTCACACATATACACACAGAGCCAGGCCCAGACCTCGGACTTCAGAGGCCTCAGCTCCCTCCTCGCAGCCTCCTCCTGTCTCTTGGATCATGAGGGCAGAGCCAGGGTTTTTTTCCTCTGAGCAGCACTCTAGGCTATGAGCCCCATTAACCCAGAACACAGGCATCCAGCACTCGGCCTGCTGGACCCAGAATCCCAGGCACCATCAACCAGGAGCAAGTTCCATCTCCCACCAGCCTGGGGAGGGTTTTATGGTCTCCTCCTTCAGAACCCAGGAGATGACCCATATCCAGGCAACTGACTCCAGAACCTGCTCAGACACCACACCCCCTCCACATTCCTCAGCTTCCCAGAGCAAGAGGATGCCTTCCAGTTCCCCCAACCCATCCCTCCTACTCTATGCTCTCCCACTGGCCCACCATGGTGGCCTGAGTGGCAGCCCCAAAAGACACAGCCCTGTCTGAAGCCCTGAATGTGGCCTTATTTGGATAAGGGGTCTGTGCCAATGAAAACAATTTTTAAGATGAGGCCAGTGACAAATGTCTTTGGTGACACAGGAGAGGAACAAGAAGCCATGAGAGGGAGGCAGAGGTGTCCACAAACACACCGCACTGACACTGCAAGCTGGGAGGCCAGGAAAAGCTGACATGGCAACTCTGCCACAACCAAGACTTTGCAAACCATGACGTACACAAAAATGACTTTTGGAAAGACATCTGCCCCCAGCTCCTTGTCCAGTCTGTGGCCAAGGATGGTGGCTTCCAACCACTATTCACTTCGCTGCCTTCACCCCAGCCTGCAGTTTGCTGGGGTGCATTGGCTGCAAGTCAAAGTACCTCTGCTGGTCCTTGGGAGGTCTCTGCTGCTGACATGACAATTGCCAAAACCCAATCTCAAAGGCACAGTGGGGAGGGGAGCTTCAGGAAGGGCCCAGATCACAGGTGCAGTCCTGTGAAGGAAAGTATCCTTGGAACAGGACCCAGCCAACTCACCCTCCTTCCACCCTGTGGCACAATCTAGGAGCCAAGAAGTGGCCCTTGCGTGAAAGAACAAACCAGTGCCCTGACCATATGCTTTCAAACTCCAAAACCATGGGATGTGAAGGTTAATGGATAAAGCCACTCATACACTCCAGGACATGCTATAGCCTCTATAGTATGTGAGTGTGCCAGCCCCGGCCAGAACCCAGAAAGAGCTGATATCCTCACCCCAGGGCCCAGCCTATTGGTAGAACTTCCCAATCACACTGCAGGTGAGCCACCTGTCCCTGCTGACAGCACCCTGCCCAGTGAGCATCGTCCAGTCTATGCCTGCACGCGTTCCCACAGCCTTGCTGTAGGTAGTAGAAGCTGACCTCCACAAGGCTCTGCTGCCCAAATAGGAGCAGCTGATGAAGCAGAACATCAGGGAGGGGACAAATGGGGTGCACGGAAGCAGGCAAAGGATGACAGGAGACCCAGGCAGCCTGGGGTGGAGACCCACAGTGAGAAGCCTGGCAGGCAGTTAGCACAGGGCAGTTGGCAGCTTGGTCCTGCCCTGCAGCCTCTCAGGCTTGGCTCCACTCCAGGCCAACCTTGCCCCCAGAGTCCCTACCTGGCAGCCTCAGCCTCTCCTCCAGCCTTGGCTTGCCTTTCTCCCTCTCTACCTGTTTTGGAGTCTTTGAGCTCTTAATTGTGTCTATTTCCATCCCTTTAACCAGCGTCTCAGCCCCCATGCCAACCGTGGGGCCAACCATGTGAAGCCCTGATCTCACCGAGGCCCATGGGGTCCCACTGCCCAGGCCACACACACCTGTCCCCACCACAGGCAGACCACAGACCAGACATGACGTGGAGATGAGTGGCTGAGTTGTAGAGGTGGGGCAGGAAGTGGGCAAGTGACCACGTCTGGGGCCAGACACCGTCAGGCAGCCCCTCCCACCTGCTCCCCCACATCCAGCCCAGCCCACGGCCAGAACATGGCAGGGACCACTGCGTCCACAAGGTCATCCGCAGTCAGGCCTATGGGGCAGAGGACAACAGCCATGACAGGAGGCCTGGTACCTCCAGTGCAGGCCACTCACCATATGAGCAGGTGGGTCCCGAGCCCTCTGGTCCCTCTGAACACTGAGAGGTCAGCAGAGCCAGGTGAGGTTGGACAATGCAGCAAGTAGAGGATGGAGGTCAGGGATGGATACTGAGTGGGAGGGGAGGGAGAGACCATAGAGGACACCGGCCAGGACAGGAACAAAGCAGGAGCAAGCTGCCACTGAGCCCAGTGGGGCAGAGGAAACAGGATGAACCAAAGCTTCCTGAAGCAACAAGGAGTAGCACATGTAGCCCAGCTTGGCAGAGGGGCTGGAGGAGAGCAAGGGCAGCTCCCCAACAGCTATGTGTGCTGGCTAGGGGACCAGGTGGAGCTGAGCAGGGATGAGATGAGCTCAGATGCTGCTCACCTAAGCAGAGCTGGGCTGGGTGGGAAAGGGTGAAGCTGAATGGAGCAGAACAGGGCTAAGCTGAGGTGGAGGTGAGCAGGACCAAGGAGGACTGGGCTGGGCTCAGAAGAGTTGAGTTGGGCTGAACAGGACCAAGAGGGCTGGGATGGGCTGAGTTGAGCAGAGCTAAGCTGGGCTGAACTGAGCTGGTCTGAGCAGAACCAAGAAAGGCTGACCTGGGCAGAGCTGGTCAGAGCTGGGCTGAGATGGGCTGTTCTGATCCTGGATGAGATGGGCTGAGCTAAACCGAGTAGAGATGGGCTGAGCAGGACCAACAGGGCAGGGCTGGGCTGGGCTGGGCTGGGCTGAGCTGAGCTAAGCTGAGTTGGGCTGAGCTGAACTGAGTAGAACCTAAGCCCAGTGAGCTGAGCTGGGCTAAGCAGTACCAACAGGGCTGGGTTGGGCTTAGCTGAGCAAAGCTAAATTGAGCTGGGCTGAGCTGGACTGAGCAGGACCAAGAGGGCTGAGCTGGACTAAGCTGATCTAGGCTAAGCAGGACCAACAGGGCTAGGCTGGGCCGGGCTGAGCTGAGCTAAGCTGACCTGGGCTGAGCTGGACTGAGCAGGACCAAGAGGGTTGAGCTGGGCTGGGCTGGGCTGGGATGAGCTGAGCTGGACTGAGCAGGATCAAGAAGGCTCAACTGGACTAAGCTGAGCTGGGCTAAGCAGGACCAACAGGACTTGGCTGGGCCAGGCTGAGCAGAGCTAAGCTGACCTGGCTGAGCTGGACTGAGCAGGATAAAGATGGTTGAGCTGGGTTGAGCTAGGCTGAGCTGGGCTGGAATGAACTGAGCTGGGCTAAGCAGGACCAAGAGGGCTGAGCTGGTCCAACCAGGGCTGACCAGGGCTGAACTGAGCTGGGAAAAGCAAAACCAAGCAGAGCTGGCTGAGCTGAGCTGAGATGGGCTCAGCAGGAAAACAGGGCTGGGCTGGGCTGAGCAGGACAAAGCAGGGCTGAGTTAGGCTGATCAGAACCAACAGGGCTGGGTTGGGCTGGGCTGGGGTGAGCAGAACTGAGTTGAGCAGGATGGAGCGAGGCTGAGCTCAACTGAGCTGGGCTAAGCTAAGCTGAGTTGGGCTGGGCTAAGCTAAGCAGGAACAAGCAAGGCTGAGCTGGGCTGATCAGGACCATGGGGCTGGGCTGGACTGAACAGAGCTAGCTAGACTGAGCTGAGCTGAGCTGAGCAGGACCAAGAGGGCTGAGCTTGTCCAACTAGGGCTGACCAGGGCTGAACTGAACTGGGCTAAGCAAAACCAAGCAGGGCTGGCTGAGCTGAGCTGAGCTGGGCTCAGCAGGACAAAGCAGGGCTTAGCTGGGCTGAACTAAGCTGGGATGACCAGGACCAACAGGGCTGGGCTGGGCTGGGCTGGGGTGATCAGAGCTGAGCAGGACAGAGTGAGGCTGAGCTGGGCTGAGCTGGACTAAGATCAACTGAGCTGGGCTGGGCTAAGCTGAGCAGGACCAAGCAGGGCTGAGCTGGGCTGAACAGAGCTAGCTAGACTGAGCTGAGCTGGGCTGGACTGAGCTCAGCTGAACACCACTAAGAAGAGCTATGTTGAGCTGAATTGGAATGGGCTGAGCAGGATGAAGAGGGCTGAGCTGAGCTGGGCTGAACAGGACCAACAGAGCTGAGTTTAGCTGGGTTGAGCAGGACCAACAGGGCTGGGCTGGGCTGAGCTGGGCTGAATAGGATGAAGCAGGGCTGACCAGGGCTTAACTGACCTGGGCTGAGTAGCACCAACAGGCCTCGGCTGGGCTGGGCTGAGTTGGACTGAGCAAGACCAAGCAGGGCTGATCTGGGCTATACTGGGCTGATCTGATCTGGATTGTGACTTAGGCTAAGCTATGTAAACCAAACTGAGCTGAGTACTGCTAGGAGAGCAAGGGTGAAGTGAGCTGTAAAGAACTGAGCTGAGCTGGGATGGGCCAACTGGGCTACACTGGGCATCCTGGCAGGACAGAGTTGACCTGAGCTAGGCTGAACTAGACTATGCAGGTGTCAGAGAAGAACAGGGCCCAGTTGGCCCACTCTGGGTAGCTGTGCTGATCGGGCTGAGCCCATCTGGCAGAGTGGAACTGGCCTGGTCTAGCCTGCACTGGACAGCTATCCTGGTCCGGACTTGCCTGGTTAGAGCCAAGCTGTTGATGAAAGGGCGGAGCTGCACGCTGGAGATCAAGAGCCTCTGGCCTCAGCTGGTTCTCCCTCCATGGATGTATTGTGCCCATAAAGCCCAGTGGGCCTCTACAATGTTGTCCTCCCTTTGCTCGTTGCCTTGATGCAATGTCCCACATGCCAGTGGTCAGTGCACCCTGAGTCACCAGCCCTGCCCCTGTAGGAGCACTGCCCTGCACATGGGCTCTGGCCTTGGTGCCCATGAAAGCCCTGGGTACTGACTGGTGCCTGAGGGTGGAGTCATGGTGTAGTGGGCGATGTGCCTGGGCCCTACAGGGCATGTGTGAAGTAGAACACCAAAGAAGTAGGCTCCATAGTGCAACCATCAGCCCAAGCCGGCCTCTCCACCCCACTCCTGCAGCCTTCTACCCCAGGCTGTTCAGTGGCGTAGCAGAGTTTCCTAGGTCTGGCTCCCCATTTCTGCAGAGGCCCTGTCCAAAACATCTGACCAGGTCTCATGCAAAGGCTATCTGAGGGTCGTGTTCAGATCCTAGCAAGGATAGGCTGGCCAGCTCCACCCCAGGCCATGGCATCTGTGGGCCAGCGATCTGTGGGCCAGGTTCCTCTACCATAAGGAGTGGCAACATGGTTCTGACTTCTCTGGGCCCCATCTCACAGTGTGTTCTGTGTTCCAGAGCCCATGACTCCCCCAAAGATCTTCCCACTGAACCTCCCATATTGCGAATATGGAGACCCTGTGGTCATCGGCGTCCTGATCAAGGATTTCTTCCCCCCGGGACCTGTGGATGTGAACTGGAGCAAGAGTGGGAACATCACAAATTTCCCCCCTTCCCTGCCTGAGGGGGGGGTCCTGTACATCATGACCAGCCGGCTGAGCCTGGAGGCTGACAAGTGTCCAAAGGACGAGAGTGTCACATGCACTGTGGAACATGCCACAAATGCCCCCCAAAGTGTGGATGTGCCATGCATAGGTAAGAGGGCAAGCTGGGGTGGGCCAGCCCTCCTGCACCTGTGTTCTCCACTAGACAGCTTAGAGTCAAAAGAGTGGAGTGCCTGACTCAGCCCGGGAGTGGCCACAGAGAGGCCAGGAGGGGCCCAAGGCTTAGAGATGGACAAGGAAAGAGCAGGAAGGGGGCAATCATCTTCCAGGCCCTCTCTCACTAGTGCCAACTCCCACAGGACCACCACCATGCAAACCAAAGTGTTGTCACCATGAGCCCAGCCTGTCACTGCAGCGGCCATCCCTTGAAGATCTGCTTCTGGGCTCAAACGCCAGCCTCACATGCACACTCAGCGGCCTGAGGAGTAATGAGGCAGCCAGCTTCACCTGGGATCCCACAGGCGAGGAAACTCCCACCCAGAAGCCTGCTGAGTATGACCACCACGGCTGCTTCCGCGCATCCAGCGTGCTGCCTGTCTGTGCTGAATCCTGGAACAGTGGGCAGACCTTCACCTGCACAGCCACCCACCCTGACTTCGAAGGCGTCCTGACTGCCACCATCACAAAACCCCCAGGTGGGCCCAGCCCCCACTCCTGCTCCCACACCACTTTTCAGACTGACTCAGGGGTCTGGGCTCAGTACATTGCTCTTTGCTCCCCTCAGCCCCTGACACAACTCTCTACCCCACAGGTATCCGGCCCCAGGTCCATCTGCTGCCGCCGCCGTCGGAGGAGCTGGCTCTGAATGAGCTGGTGTCACTGACATGTCTGGTGCGGGGCTTCAGCCCTAAGGACGTGCTGGTGCGCTGGCTACATGGGAACGAAGAGCTGCCCCGTGACAGCTACCTGGTGTGGGATCCCCTGGAGGAGCCCGAGGCGGGTACCACCACCTATGCTGTGACCAGTGTGCTGCGCGTGACAGCCGCGGACTGGAAGCAGGGGCACAACTTCTCTTGCATAGTGGGCCACGAGTCCCCACCTGTGCCCTGGACCCAGAAGACTATCGACCACAACTCGGGTAAACCCACCCATGTCAACGTATCTGTGATCATGTCGGAGGCAGATAGCACTTGCTATTGAGCCTCCCTACCCACCCTGCCCCTTCAATAAACACCATGCTCACCCACAACAGCCCACACTTCCATCTGGCGCCTGTCTGCCTGTCTATCCATCCTCTGGGTCTGCAGCACAGAGGGAAGGGCCAGGTCAGGAGGGAAGAGCAACCCCTGCCCCAGCCACTGGACCCTGGGCTCCAATGTGTGTGCCTGAGAGTGAGTGTGCATGTGTGTGCCGTGGGCACTTGTGTGTGCCTGTGGGCATGTGCATGTGTGCATGTGCTGTGCACATTTGTGTGTGTGTACCTGTGAGTCTATATGCATGTCTATGAGTGTGTACCTGTGACGTGTATGTGCCTGTGAGAATGTGTCTACATGTGCTTGTGAGTCTGCAGTGCACAAATGCTAAGGCCCAGCCTGGTGTGAAATCTGAGATTGTCAGTCTCTGAAGTGGGCACAGGCCGCAGGGGCCCCCGAGAGCAGTGCAGTCGTGGGAAATGGTAGGTGTTAGAGTAGTGTATGCCTTGGATTGCCATGGCTGCGGCCAGGGAGGCCAAGAAAGGGTAGGCAGGAGTAGGCAACTCAGATGAGGTTGTGCCATTTGCAGTGGGTTAGAGGAGGTGGGTAAGGGAATGAGAGCTGATTCCAGGGACGCCCCCAGAGCAGGAACCTTCTCCTCACTGGGTCAGCTCTGGGAAGCAGCACAGCTACATGGGATAGCCACTGACTCAGAAGGGGCCACCTGGGTGGACAAGGACCACCCCACACCACACTGCTCATCACCTCCACAAGGGCGCACATGCACACACAGGCACATACACGCATCACACACTCTCACATGTCTTGAGCCTCACAGGTGCAGGAAGCGCACTGCCCACACCCAGCTCCAGGAAAGCAGGGGAGTCCCCTCCCAGCCCCAGAGTTTCTCAGGCCCAGCCTCGATATGCCCAGCCTCCCTAGGTATGCAAACACCCCTCTCAGGCAGCCCCTGCACCCAAGACTCAAGTTGCCCAAACCGCCCCCCCCCAAGCCTAAGTATGACTCAAACCACAGACAGGGCAGGGGCAGGCTGGGGAAGGGTCAGGAGTAGGCCAGGGAGACTGTTGCCAAATGTACCTCTGTGGGTCTCTGGCTCTGCTGGGCCCCAAGAGCATGAAAAGAACATCCACAACCCCTTTAGGGATACCTGGCACCCAGGTGTCCACAAGGGGGCAGCGGGACCTCTGATCTTGCCTCTGGGCCTTCCCAGGGGACTTGGCTTCTAGCAGCTTCTCTTTGTTCTCAAGCCAAGGTGGAGGGGAAGCCATTCACTCACCCTCAACACTTGCCCCATCACCAGAGGGCAATAGAGAAAGCAAAGGGCCAATTGGGAAAATCTTGCCCCAAAGAAGTTGTCCTACCACCCTATGGGACCCAGGACCTGTCCCAAAAGAGAAATTTTTCTAGAGAGAGGGGAAGGAAAAGGAATCTAGAGATGGAGGGTTGAGCCAGGAGATGGAGAGCAGGGCTGATAGGAGGACAATAGGACATATGATAATGGAAGGTTGGGTAGGTAGATAGATGAGTAGGTGGGTAAGTGGAAGATGGATGGATGGATGGATGGATGGATGGATGGATGGATGGATGGGCAGGTAGGTGGTTGGATAGGTGTAGAGTGGGTGGATGATAGTTGAATGGAAGGATGGATCCATGGATGATTGGATGAATGGAAAGATAGAGGGAAAATAAATGGTGGGGTAGAACAGCACATGATCAGTAGGTACAACTCCCATTTAACATAGGAAATCTATGTCCTAAGAATGTGTTGATAGCCTTCACCTGGCCCTCTTTGCTGACTCCTCAGCCACATTTTCAGGAAAGGTAACACACTCATGCAGCCCTTGGCACAATGATCTCAGACTCAGAACTCTTTGGCCCAGTTCTCAGGTCCTTCTAAGCCCCAGGACCCAGACCAGGGCTGGCCCAAGAACCAGGGCTTGGTGAGAACTTGCCAAGTATCTGGACAAGGCTGAAACCCAGGAGGCCTTGGGTTGGCACTCTCCTTGGATTTTCAAAGACATTTCCCACCTTCCTACCCTGCCAGGTCTCTCTCTAAGGTCCCCTGACAGATGGGTCCTGGGAGCATCTCAAGAGCTACAAAGTGTTCCAGGCTCCTACCTGGGGTCATGCTTCACATCCTCTCTGAGAATCTCAGACCTGTGAGAGCTAACCCTACTGCCATAGTTCCTAGACCCCAAGATGGCATAGAAGGGGCAGTTAGTTCTGGGCCTCTACCCACATGGGTCCTCTATGTCTTGCAGAATGGAGACAACCACTTCCCTGGGTGGTACTGGACCAGCCACAGGATGTCCTCGAGGAAGAGACCCCAGGTGCCAACCTGTGGCCCACCACCGTCACCCTCCTCACCCTCTTCCTGCTGAGCCTCTTCTACAGCACAGCATTGACAGTGACGACCGTGCGTGGCCCACCTGGCAGCAAAGAAAGTCCCCAATACTGAGCAAGTGCCATCCGGGCACAGGTGCAGGAGGCAGGAGGGACTCAGAGGGGATGAAGCACAGGGCTGTGTGGTCCAAGGAGAGGATCCCCAGTCTCACCCACATAGGGCTCTGTTCTCCCAGGGTCCCTTCTCAGATTCTGAGAACACCAGAGCAGGATGGGGTCATGGTTGTCTCCCAGAAGCCAGGCCGGGGTGGGACAGGGGCACTACAAGGACATAGCCCCTCAGGAACCTCTCTGGCCTGCCCTCTCTTGTCTTTGTAGGGAGGCAGCATAGAGGAGCCCTCTACGTGGCAAAGCTGACCCCTGTGTGACAGTGCTTCTCTCCCATTCACACGCTTCACTGTGCAATAAAGTCATGCCAAAGACAAACATCCAGGCTCTCAGGGGAATGTTCTCAGAGGAGGGGAAGAAATTAGGGAAGCCTGGGGGCACCAGACAAAAGCATGCTGCATCAAAGAACATGGGGGTGAAAGGGCTGGATGGACATGGGGTGACCATTGTCAAGAGTCTAAGGTATGACCTCCTCTCACATAGGCTGATACCTATGAATGTTGAATGTTGGCTGCACCAAGGGAGGGTGTCCAGAAAAACTCATTTTCAGTAGGGATCTAATAACTGGCCCTGATCCTGGTAACTAGAAAGCGATAGTAAACAAGAACCACAGCTCTAGGCACTGAGGGTAGGTCCTAAACACTGAGCCTTGGTTCAGAACATGTGCTGGACTCCTAAGCACTGGGGCTAGGTCCTGATTACAGGGCTTGCTTTTTATTACAAGGACCTGGTGCTGAACTCTGAGCCCTGGTCCTTAAAATTAGCCTGGTTTGTAAGCAATGACAATGGGACGTAAACACTGGGGCAGGTCTTTACCTGGTACCAAACACTGAGCCCTAGTCTGTTCAGTGAACCAGGTTCATAACACTGAGGCTGAGTCTTGATTACAAGAACCTGATCCTGAAATTGAACACTGGTCATGAACAAGGAGCCTGGTTCCTAACCACTATAAGTACAGAAGCTCATGATCGCTGAACCAGGTTTTATCATAAGGACCTAGCACTGAACACTGAGGAACCAGGCCAGTATTCAGAATCAGAGCTCACTGATCCTGAACACTGAGACTGGTTCCTGAGTACTGAGGCTCAATGGGCCCAGTCATATCCCAAGGTCCTGATATAAACACTCAGCCCTGAGCCTGGTTCCTAAGCACTAAGTCTGGGTGTGATCACTGAGTCCAGTCTTAATTACAAGGTCCTGGTATAAACACTCAGTCCTGGTGTTGAACACTGAGCTTTGATGCTAACAATGAGCCTTGTTCCTAAGCACTAAGGCTGGCTATGATCACTGAGTCCAGTCTTAATCACAAGGTCCTGGTATAAACGCTCAGTCCTAGTCCTGAACCCTGAGTCTGATTCCTACGAACTGAGACTGAGTCATGGTCACTGGGCCTGGTCTTTATCACAAGGACCTGGTGCTGATTGGACTTGAACTTTATCATAGAGACTGGTCCTGAACACTGAGCCTGTCAAGGCTGAGCCTCCACAGGGTCACCTGGAAAGGGGTTTGCACAGTGATCCATTGAGAGTTAATTCCCAATAAAGAACAGGACACAGAGTCAGTTATCAATAAAAGAACAGCACGAGAGCTAGAGCCAGAGCTCTAAATCTCAAGAGCTGTTGCTCTTTATTCCTTTAGCAAAAACAACTAATAGTGCTCTTTAGTTTATAGCAGTTATAGTAGCTGTTATCAGCTTACTGGGATATGGTGAAACAAAAAACCAGCTACGTGACCTTGACCATGCGCACATGCATGGTTAAGTATGTTAAGTCACGCAATTAAAGCTGCAAAAAAAAAAAAGTATGTTAAGTCACTTTTATATAACTGTGGCCCATTATATGCATGTCCCTGACGGCAGGGTTGTGACCCTAAGTGTCCTCAGGTGCATTTGTATTTCCCTGGATTTGAGTCTATTGACCAGGTTTGAGTATAATCACAAGTGGTACCCCACAGAGCCCTCATTCTGAGCATTGAGCTTGGTTCCTAAAAACTGAAGTCTTGACCTCAGGCAGTCTCACTGAGGAGTTCCAGAGCTGGCCAGGTCCCTGGGACCAAGCAAGCCGCCCAAGCATCTATATTGCTTGCCCTTCTTGGGACCATCTGAGATCTGGGCATGTACCCTCCTCTTAGAGAGGCCTAGAGGACAGGACTCCTGCAGGGCACAGCTAAGGAAAGGAAAAAGAGTACAAAGACCACAACAGAGATCACTGGCAGCTGGGAGAGGATGAGCATGGCCTGGTCAGAGCCAGGTTGGTCTGTGGTGGGGGCAGAGCAGCTCAGGCACTACACCACCCAGGTCTAGCCACCAGCTCACTGGATACCCCAGAGCCCCTGCCCCCTTCACTGTCACCATGCCAGACAGAGCAGGCTCCTGGACCTCAGAGAGAAACCCACAGACCCAGTAAACCCAAAGCACAGGGTGAGGAAGGGGAAGAGGGCTGGGGCCCTGGAACCCAGGATGCTCACACCAGAGCT